TGTGTGGTCAGAAAGAAAAAGGATTAGAATTTATGTTTTTCTTCAAATAAAATATACACTATTTTTTATCTCTCCGTGTAAAATATACATAGAAAAGTTAAGGAGTAAAAAAGGGCATATATTTTTACATGACAGCTTTAAATAACTTTGATGGTTTGTATAATATCTTTGTGTGTGATATGCATATTTCCCACATTGTTTTTTGGGTATTTTTAAAATTATGTATATTGAATAATTTCCGATATTGTTTTATTAGCATCGGTGTCTAAAAAGTACACAGTAGGCGTTGAACATGGTTGTTATGGGGTATATACGGGGGGCCATAATTTAAAGGAATAAATTAGGTGTCAATCAGATGAAGATATATTGTAATAAAGGTTCAATTCAGTATTTAAGATATATATTTTATTGTTAAAATATGTCTAAATATTTCCACAAAGAGAAAGTGATTTTGTCACTGACTAAATAATTATATTGACAAATCAGTAATGGGGTGTTTATAAAACATCAAATAGCTGTATATCAATATAATAGTATAGTAATATGACTAGACTTTGTTTTATACAGTAGATTGAGGAGGGGGAGGGGGTGTAAATTCCTATATACGCGCAATATTTATTTATTTGTACAACAACTGTAAGCTAACGTTGCATATTATTAGGGATCACGTGGCTAATTGGGTAAGACGCTAGCTCGCTAGCCTGCATTGGCCGAGAAAGTTCATCCAGATTTTCCGGCGTGGTTCTCCCTTGTTAGTGATGCAGGACGGAGGGGCTGACAAGGAAAGCTGTCTAGTCGTTCGGATGGGACGAAAAACCGAGGTCCCGTGTACACATTGGCGTGCACGTAAAAGATCCCTTGGCAGTTGGAATTCGATATAAGAGTAGGCCGTAGTGCCGCTGTCCGGGCAAAATTTCCCTCATAGCACACTGTATGGCGTATGCCCGTCTTCATTAGCCCAGGTTAGGAGCAGAACAGTAGGACGTTAAACTCCATTTCATTTCATTTCATTTCATGCATATTACTAATTCAATTTTTCTAGTCAAATGACACGAGGAGAGTAAATCTGCTTAGGAAGGAATAAGGTAACCACCCGCCTCCAAGCCGACAAACTATTTTTTGTTGTCTGTGTAAATGTAATTATTGATTTATATAATATTCAGGTTACATGTAGAAAACTATTCACAAATTTTATTTCATTCATAATATAATCGGGTATTTATACTGCCTATATTGCTATATCACGTTTAACTTTAGTGACACGTAATCCTCTATTATGTGAGTTACATCAGATACATTTTTGTAGCGCATTGTCAACCGTTTAATTCGTGGAAATTGTTCAATTTTTCTGCGTATTACGGGGGAGTAATGTCAAAGCGTGGGCGGGTGACTCACGATTATCAAGTCAGCTTCTAACCTTCTTTACAATGAAATGAAGAAGTGAAAGACTCAATAATGGAATATAAGTTATGTATGGTATGTAGGCGACCTCTGGCTGAGATTTTTGTTTCTCAACTGTTTTTCACAATGAATGGGGCACACAAGAGAGGCAGATTGGTGACCCGCAGGGTCACATTATCAACGATAATATTTCAACCTTTATTCTCATATTGCGCGCAATTTACATCCGGTATAAAAAGACCTAGTGAGGTCAATAAGTACAAGCGGGTTGTGAAACATGGCTGTTGATATTTGAGTACTAGATCCTAATATAAACTTGTTTCATTTTACATAAATCCGGTTTCTTAGTTTCCATGCGTTTTCATGAAATGAAACGTTCACGGAGGTTTTAAATATTTATTTACGTTGATTCTGAATAAAAATCGCATTTCAAATGTAGGTCTATAGGCGTGGTTGTACAAATTGAAACAAAATTTAGATTTCCCAATCAGTGGCGTACATGGAGTTTGTCCCACCCCTTACCACGAGAAAGAGGGAGTGAAGAGAGAAATGGAGTTTAACGTCCACTCGACACAAACTAGGTCATTTCTGGACTAACATATGGTTCAGTTTTATTTCAATGAGCTTTAGCAGTGAGAGGAAACCGGAGGACCCGGAGAAAATCCACGAGATCGGAAAGGCAACCCTACTCCTTGTCACGTACAACTGGGGAATCGAAACCACGCTAGTTGACTCAATGACAGACCTTATGATATAGCGCGCACGCACTAAACATTCGGCCATCCAACCGCCCTCCGTTACCACGAGGATTCCAAGTACGCGAGGATTATATCACAATATAATGATTTTGCCTCATGGAATGTAGTACAGTTCCCATGCCATGTTAAAGAATCAGTGACCTTCGATCAACGGCATATTGTCATAGAACATTTTACTTACGGATAACAGAATAATAAAAAACATTTTATTAGCATTGGCTGAGATTTACCCTCTGGGTAGAAGTTGACCTCAAATCAAATCACAAATTAATGTTATGAAATTAATAAGAGATTTGTACCAATTAATGATTACATTTGCAGTCAATAACAAAATACGTCCGTTTTCTTTAGTTTTTAATATAGCGATTGGCTTTAAAAGATTGATCGGCTCCATTATCTCTGGTTAAACACCAAAATCATAGTTCTAGCATAACTATGTGAAAATTTCTGTCAGTTTATATACTTCGATGGTTATTTGGCCATCTTGAATTTCAAGATGACGTCATACGTTGTCCATTTAGCAGTTGGTTTTTATAGTTTGCCTGACCCGTAAATCCTACGTATGAAGAGCAAAATTGCAAAAATTATAGATGGCATTGTATGCAATATCACTAAGGTGGAAGCGGACGTTAAATACAGCTATTCCACGCACCAAAATCAACACCCTAGCGTGAATAACAGGGACCACTCAAGTTTTATTTTAGTCCTGAAGAGATATTCAAACTCAGCCGTGTTCAAGAGTTAAATAGAGATGACATTTAAATGCACACTCAGCTTATACCCTATACCCTAATTCTGAATATTCACCCCAAATGTCTGTAATGTTTGAAACGAACTCGTCTTGATAATAGGACTTGACTGTCAGTCAGCCAGAGGATGGTCAGTTGACTAGTTTAGCGCGACTATTTTGAAACCAATGGTTTTCATATTGCAGCTTAAAAAATATGGTATTGGGTCGTGTACGATTGCAGTATATTTTTATTACAGAACGTCTATCCACTCCGAATCCTGGAAATGGATCGAAACCACTCTTTTCACACAAAAATGCGTATAAATTCGTACCTGTCCGAAATTGATATATCACTAATCTTCTAAGTCATTTAACTGTTTCAGGCATTAGTTTATTAAAAGTACCATTTTTCCTAACTGATCGTCGTTAGTGTCTGAATTATCTCTGGCCGAGGACACGTTTCAAAGCCTAAACACTTACAATATTTCAAACCATTCCTTTCTCTAAAAAGCAAAACAAATACTTGCTCGTTAGAATTGCGTTTGGATGTTCAAAGTGTTTCTTGAAAAGGATTTGAACAGTCGTGGTTCAATACGTGACTTAAACACAAAACATTCACTTTTCTTTCTATAATTATTTATTTTCTTTTGTACGGACAATAGTTGATATTATTATTGTAGCTATATATTGACACATGTTTAGAGAATATCATTGATTTTGCTGACTGGTATTTATCATGTAACAGTTGTTTGTGGCATTTCAAGTGGAATAACAAAATAAATATGACATCTGTACGATAGATATAATAGGTATATTATATAAAATAACCCCCAAGTTCCTAATACTGTATAATATGTTCTATATTCTTAAATACTCTGTTTTGATATTTTAATATAGCAATCAATAACCACAAAGATCTTTCATACAAACTATGAAGTGAATGTTCTTTGAAATAATAATAACCAGGGACCTTCGGGCACCTGTACCTATACACAAGGCTTCATGTTAAAATGTTGGTCCGTGATCGTACATGGAGACTAGTCTGCAGTATGCAAAAATGATTCTGATTTTGGATGCGTTTTAATCATATTTTGACATGTTTCTTATTAAAACGTGTATTTAAAAGAAAAGCGATGAAAAGAAATGGTGTTTAGTGGCATGACACAGTATTTAAAAGAAAGTCATGGTAAATGTTATACTTGTGTAGAAAACATTGAGAACATACATGTACGAGCTATATTTATGTTATAAATATACCTATCGATATATCCTCACACCTCTTGATTAATGCTCGATAATTAAAACAGGGCCGTCGTAACCAAATAATTTGTAAATATCTATGTGTTCATATTTTGGCCTCACTACACCCACAGCCCCCCCCCCCCTTATTAACTTCGTTCCTATGGGTACGGAATATACTATGTTTGGTCCTCCGGTTTCTTCCCACCGCTAAAGAGCCCTACGCGCAAGCGATTGGTTGAAATAAAATTGAACCGTATGGTAGTCCCGAAATGGCCTAGTTTGTGTTAAGTGGACGTCAAACCCCATTCTCTCTCTCTCTCGATCGCTCGCGAAGAGGAGGGGGCGGGGCTCGTCAGTAGTTTCATTTTCTGTACTGGAATTGCAAACGGGCTAAATGTTGAAAAGGAACACCTTGAAATAAATATTCAGTTTTCAAGCCAGCTTCTATTTGTATCGCCGAGTCGCGAATATAACGCATCACCATCGGTTTATATAAAACATAAGGCTAAAATAGACACCCGTTCTAATAAGACCCCTTTTAGGATTATGCTGTACAGATTCCTCAAAATCTCGGTTTTCTGGCTGGTCCCCCCTTGTCAGTGGTGCGGGGCGAAGGGCCTGGCAAGTGACAACGTATCGTTAAGATGGGGTGAAAAGTCGAGGTCCCGTGTTCACATTGCCAGTTGGAATTGGATATAAGAGTAGGCTATAGTGTCCATGTTCACGCACTGGATGACGTATGCTCGTCTTCATTAGCCCAGTTGGTGCAGAACAGTGGGACGTTAAACCCCATTTCATTTCATTTCCAAATGCCTGCAAGTAATAATAGACGAGATCTACTGGCTTTAATCAAAATATAGACAAGATAATTAACAATAATACTATTCATTTATTTTAATAGCGTTAATAATAACATACACATTTTCAACATGTTAAGTACAAAAATAAGAAACCCCTTTAGGTGAACAATTTTAAATATAATGTAATCTTTATACATTCTAAAATCCATTTACACAACAAAAACGTGTTTTTTATAACAAAAATCTGGCCAGTATTTTATTACTACTGACGTATCACATTTCTGATAAATAATATATTTTAACCTATATGCATAATGATTGATATTAATGTGACGTCATCATATGGCACATGTCCTAACGGTAGTGGCTTTAAGATATTACTTGCCTTTGGCACAATGAATGTGATAATTTAATATAACAGATTTATCTATACCACTGAATTACTGAAGTCAATATAACATACACTATATTTTCGTTGTCTGTAGATTCATATTCTACAGTGGGGCTAATTAAAATGGAGGGAGTTCGTAGCCTTAGGTGTCAATCAATTTATCTGATATGTTTTAATTGGTTAAATGATATAACACACCTTCATGTCACAACCATGTAAAAATTGAAAGATCGTGGTTTAAACAGGTTCATATTCATATAACAATTAAAACAGAGGATGTCCGATTTCTTATCACCTGCAGGCTCCTTCTTGTTACATTTATAATGTAATAATTGATAAATAATATCATGATTGACTCGTACAAAAGATATAAAAATTTGAAAATCCTAATTGAGATCATTGTGTCAACTTATCATGTGACCTTAAATCACGTGATAACTGGCAATAACCGGAAACAAATAAGTTTATGCAATGTTAGTTTTCACATTAATGTTAATGAACCACACTTGCATATTTCCCTCGTTTTCACAACTATCTGGAACAACAGTCACATGACTTGGTGGCGCTGTATGCATGATGCTGCCAGCTCATCTGTTAAGCACTAGTATTGCTAGTTCATAGATTGGGATTAAATCACTATTTCTTGGGCTCATGACGTTTCATATGGAGAGCTAGATGATCTGACCGGGCAAAAGAACGTTCACAGACTTTACACTTGAATGGCTTAGCTCCGGTATGCTTTCGTATGTGCCGAGTGAGTTCATCAGAACGGGCAAAACGCCACTGACACGAATGGAAATGGCATTTGTATGGCTTCTCTCCTAAAAAATACAATAATAAAATAACATAAGTTACAGTCTATAGTTTAAAAATAATATTGTAATAACACTTATAGAAATAAAATACCGCACTTAAATATTTATATATTTTAATTAATTAATTAAAATATGTACATACCTGTATGTATTCTTTGATGCGCCTTTAAATGAGAACTTTTCGTATAAGCTTTTCTACAACCTGTAATATAAAATAAACATCTATATAAGTACATTTATTTTATAAGTTCAATATCTGACACAGACAACCATAACATTTATCAAACATGAATAAATGGTTACCCTTTGTATGGTACTATCACCTCAGGCGAGTATGAGTCATGGCTCTTATTTCGTACAACTACGCAATATAAGTGTATAAAATAAAAGTAATTAAAACTGTGTTGTATCTGTTATAGATGCTAAGTTTAATGTACACTGTTTGTTAAAACAAGTGTATTATCACCAGTTTACTTATTTTAAACATATATAGGATAAGACACGAGTAGCACATCCTACGCAATAGCGGATGTTTGGCAACCCAGCACGTGTGTCGATAATTTATTCTTTCCTGCCCTATGTCCACCTGTCTTTAAGCTTTTTATAGTGTCAAAATATTACAGTTACATCCTATACACATTAACACTTGTAGAAAACAACAAAATATAAATAGATTTAAATATATAAATAGTTTGCTATAATTACCTGGAAATTCACAGAAATGTATTCTTCTTTTTTCTAATTCTGGGTTGTTTTTTCTGTTATATCTGATAGTAGAACATCCTGGGTGAGTCTGAGGGTGTTTTTTAGGTGACTGATGGGATCGAGCTGTGAAGGGTACTGATAATGGTGAAGCACAACCTAACATAGCATTAGCTATACCAGGATAGGGTGGAGGTGGGGTTCTTCTCACATATTCTTGACTAGGGCTGGGGGGTTGAGATGTTGGGGGCGTTGGTGGTAGAAGTACTGGAACAACATGAGCACCAGATGAATATCCACTGTTTTTGGAATATTGGGGCATATATTGAAGTCCATCCATCATAGTATCGTTAACAGTGGTTATTCCTGATTGGCTAATAATAACTTGCTGGGGAACATGTATAGAAGAACTGGAAGTCCTTGGGGATTCATCATAAAACATGGTATTATAAGGTTCTGATTTCACGTGAAACTGACAGGATGGTTTATCATTAGTGTCCATGGGTTCAGCTTTAACAGTTGCATTGTCTTTAGATTTCTGGCAATTATATTCGTTTTGATTTTGATCTACCATATTGATACTGGCACGTAGATCTTCCCATATCGAATCAGATACCTTCATACTTTGAGCCTGTAATTGCTCATCACTATCAGGAATAACGGATTCATAGACAGTAGAATCTAAATCAAATACATCGACTTCACTTACTGGTTCTCTCTTAATCCATGAACTGTGAACTTTCATTGGATTTCCAACTTGGAAAAAGTCTTCTACAAATGACGAACTTTGGCGTCGAGCCTCCTCAAAACAAAGTTCGCGCTCTTTTTGTGTCAGACGTGGATTGGAATCTAAAGCAGCTTTTAATTGCATCTCGACTTCTCTAATATCTTTTTTGTTAGAATATATCTTCGATTCTCCAAAAAATTCCTCTATAATTGAAGTACTGCCTCTTGGTGCCTTTTTTAAACCGGTTGTTAATGGTTCATTTAGGTATTTATCTAATTCGGCTAAAACCTGTAATTACAAATAAATATACTATTTAAAATATAGCGATTAGCATTAAAATCTACTTAGTTCATGTAATGCTGATTTATTAGCAGAAAAGAAGCTTTACGTCGAAGGAAAACATGGTTATTAAACGTGTAGCCACCGGCTTTATGTAAGCAATCTATCAAAATGTCGACATAAAGATGTTTTTTTGTGGTAAATTACGCGCATATGTTTTAATATTGGTGAACACAAATTTATTGGTTACTGACTCAAGGGACTAAATTTAAATTCCTACGACTTCTTTATCATAGGATTTGATCAGTTAGGAAACAGTTTGACATTAGTAGTTTCCGCACGACAACTTTACACAGAGATCTGTTTCAACTGGTTTTATCAGTATAAAGTTGGACTTTGAACGATAGATAATACGTAATATCTAAATTTAGAATTCGCCGAAATGAAGTGAAACGTGATCACTTGCCTGTTGCACTGAATGTTAATGTGAATCTTTTTACCCCATTTTATTACAAGGCAATACGTTTTCAGTGAGTCAATTGAGTAATTACATATTTTCAAACAAAATTGAGAACTGATTAATGAATGATTAATTAATACATAAGACATTTACTATTCACAGTGAAACTCATTCACTTGTATTCTTATTTATCTAGTTGCCGTTTTACATTTATGTGTTTCGTTAGTAATGAAAATCAGCCAGTGAGACAGCAACGGTCGTTTTAACTTGGTACCTATGGCCACACATGCTCGATTCATGTTGCCTTCTCATTCACCACCCACGTACATTCTTCCGTAGCTACGATATTCAAGTTCACACAGTACAAATTCAATAACAACCCTCGCTTCTGATTCATAGTCTATTTTATGGCTGAGTGCGTTACAGTTAATGTGAATACGCTATACAGTATTATTGTATAATGCCTTTAGGTATTGAAACTAGGAAATAAATCGGTCAACTAATCGACTTGTTTACCTGTACTCAATTATATTTAATCTATACTTTGATAAGGATCAATATACAAAACTCTGGCTTAACCATCTTAATTTTAAACGTTACAGACTACTATTTATTTAAGTCGTTTTCAGTAATATCATACTCTTGTATATATTAAAGAATATATATTGGTTTAAGAAACAGAACTTACATTTCCATTAGGTGTCGGATTATTAAATTCCAGTGGTGGTAGGAATATGTCATCGGTGTCCGGCACTATTTGTTCATCTAGTAAATTAGGTATACACAAACTGTCGGCCATACCAGGTTAACTTATATATAATCACCTTTAAATACAGCTAAAAACACAGAAATCCTATTGACTTGTAGACAGGTAGATATACTCCCGCTTCGCCTCGTTCAACGTAAATAACGTAACATCATGAATGTCCCGGCTTTATATCTAACTAAACGGGGCGGAGCGTTGACCATATAAGGATCATGAAATGAAGTCATCGGTCGACTGTATTGACACAGCTAAAAATAGCTACAAATTACAAACAACGATTTTACAGCCCTGGGATAATTAATGTTAATGATTTTGCTATGATATATTCTGATAAACAGCCTTTAGCGATGTATCGTCAGTTTATGCCGTTAAAATGGTTATTTTGTCCGGTATTAGCAAACGTAGATTGTTCATTCATATTGATTTTGTGACGTTGGAGAAGATTGACGTGTGACGTCAGGAGGTCACAGGGTTGTGGAATTTTCTCGCATGATAGCAAGTATGAAATAGAAATGAAGTAAACAGTTTGCTGTGAAGGCTATGTGTAGTTTAGTCGTGTTTATCGGTTACTAAACTTCCTATACAACTTGTAGTTAATTCGTGTTTGTGTTATTCAAGCAATTGAATCAAACAAATATTACGTAAGACTTTTGGTATTTGATTTGTTAAACGTACAATCAATTGACCGATTTATTAAACAATTAAAAATAGGGCAACTCAATAACAAAAAGTTTAACAAAAATTAATGTATATATTTCTTGAAAATACAAGTTAGTCAACTCATTAAATTAAATATTGGCACTTAATATTTAAAATTTAAAATAAGTCAAATACAAAGAATTTTTTTTTTATTTTCAAAAATAGAGAAACTAAATATTTCATCATGAAATATTATACCTTTTAGCTATCAAATTACATATGATTGATGGATCTAATGAGATAGTTAATCATTCTAGTTTACATCCTATTTATATTATAACACAAATAGGATGCCAGTACAGTTTTATAAAAAAAAAACTTACCAAATTCCTTATTCTAGGCACGTACTAGCAGCGTGTATCGGTTTTATGTGACATATCTCACCTGTGTCAAATTGAATTTCTAAGAAATATAAAGCTGATCCAATTCGCCGAAACATCCTTAAAAGGGAAATCTCCCCATCCGTTCTATATTTATTTTTAACAAACAGGATAATTGCACAACAAAACAGAGACACAACAAGTGATTCAATACACGGCTGCATATAGTACACATAAGTAAAATATTTGGATTACGTGCTGCGGATGATCATAAACCGCGACAAAATGTGTTAGTGCGACAAGTTATCAAAATTTAAAGAAATGTGAGACAAAATGTAAGAATACGACTGAGTGACACACATTCGAAAAGTGTTGAAAATGATGACTCTTTTACCATAACATGTTTAAAACGGGTTGGTGATGTTCAAATAAATATGTAAATCATGATTTTGTTATTTTTGTCCCTTTCAACTGATCACTGCCGTGTATCGGTGTATACCCTCCCCTTTTCATCAAAGAGCCGAGAAAAAGTATGGGTATAATTATACATATATTGACACAGAAAATTTAAAATTGAAACGAAAGCAAAAACGGAAAAATCGGTTATATTAAATTAACATTTAAAAAAAGTTTTTTGTTACTTCTTTTGGTACAAAATCAACAAATTGTTTCATTGTTCCAAACGTAAGTTCATTTTAATTATTTATTAATATTTTTTAAGAGTTTTATTTTGATTCCATTGATGAATTCCCCAAGCGATAAAGTAGGTATTATGTTAATTGGTGAAGCTTGACTGGGTAAAAGATTAATAATAAATCATAAGTATATGAACCATAACACAATAACATTTTTTAAAACTCTTATTAAATATATTATTGAGATAAAATCACCAGAATAAATCTCATGGTATTACTAATACTGAAAAAAGAAATCCCAGAAGAAAGATACGAATATGCATTATACTTAATCCTTATAAGACATATAGAAATAGATTTCACTAAAAATAAAACACACTTATATGGATATACTACTTCTGAGTTTATTAACATGCTACGTAGCATGTTAATAAACTCAGAAGTAGTATATCCGTTAATAAACTCAGAAGTAGTATATCCATATAAGTGTGTTTTATTTTTATGCATTATACTATTGAACCATAAAAAACAATAGTAACACTAAAAAATGAAACCCCAGAATAAAAGATACGTATTACGAATATGGAATAAACAGTCAACTAAGTATAATAATATGTTTTAAAATATATCAAGTAAATCGCCCAGAAAATAAAATGCTGTAAATAAATATTGGCATACAAATATAATATCAATATACCAAATTAATCTGTTGTTTGTAACACTATTTTTATATTGTTTACTTATTATCATAAGTTACGTATAAAAATGTATCAAAACATAAATAAAATACGACTAGCATCATGGTTACACGTACTTATCACCATCATTCTCTTACATTGATTCTCATAATGGCGTCAAAAATAGGATAAACACAGAACGGCTGTAAGGAGTAACCTTGAATTCGACGCGGGCTATATTATTTGTTTCATTACCAGATACGTTATAAGAGAAGAAGCATGATTCAGTTGTTTACGAAAATCGGTCAGATTCCCCGAGGCTGTTTTTGCGCATGCTGTTTCAAGATGGTTGATATCATATAATACGTGTACGACAGACGACGACGTATATTTACCTTATATCACTATAATAAATTATCTATTTTGTATATAATCTGTATCTCATGTCTCTCCACTATTTCTTTCCGCGTTTCTTTTTCTCTGTTCAATAACATTATAGCTTTTATAATAATTTTCTTACTAAAAAACAACAACTAAATTGTGAGATTTAATTTTCGTGATTCAATTTTTAATATAGCTATACATGAAAATATGTTTATTTGTCTGTTAACGTATTTAAATCGTGACTGGAAAAATACTTTGAAAATTACTAGCCTACAATAAAAAAAGAAGACATTTGTGACAGCTTATCAAATAATATGTGGTATAATCATAATAATAAAACCTGAATGTTAAATTAGATACTCAATTGTTAGCTAATACTATACTGACATTAACGTCTCTAACTCACTGTCTCACAAAGTCTTCGACATTGAAGAAGAAGAAGAAGAAGAAGAAACTTTATTGCATAAAAAAACCTTACAAGATTATGTGGATATACAAATAAAATAATAGAAATATACATGAAACAACCAAAGGATACATGAAAACACGAATCATTTGTCAATTTTAATCAACACTGATGTTGTGATCTACCGGGAAAAGATGGGCTTCTGATATCCAATATTTAAAGGACAATATTGGTGCCAGTCATTATCACATATGTGATAGAGCTGGTTCAACACATTCCAAATATAATTTTAACACAGAGATCATTGCTACGATAGCTGAGTAATACAGGTTTCCTGAATCGGAAGTGACGAACGCCAAAGGAAAACACAAGTCATGCCTCTATATAACTGACTGATGTGACGAGTGATAATAGACACACGGCCGAATTTCTGCTCACTAATAATTCCTTCGAAGACCAAAAGTTGTTATACGGTACTGTAAGAGGACACCTGACAATTCAATAAAGTAATTGAATGTCATTAGATAAGAGAACACGAGAAAAATAGAAATAGTCCGTACATTCCCTTGTTTATATTCATTCTATACCTTATAAAAACATGGTAATGCACGGACTTTTTCTGTTTTTCTTTCGTGTTCTCTTATCTAGTGGCAGTCAATTCTTATGAATTGTCAGATATCCTCTCACAGTCTCACACAACAACTTTTGGTCTTGGAAGGAATTATTAGTGAGCAGAAATTCGTCCATGTATCTGTTATCACTTGTCACTTCAGTCAGTTATATAGAGGGATGCCTCGTGTTTTCCTTTGGCGTTCGTCACTTCCGATTCAGGAAACCTGTATTACTCAGCTATCGTAGCAATGATCTCTGTGTTAAAATTATATTTGGAACGTGTTTAATTAGTTCTATCACATATGTGATAATGACTGACACCAATATTGTCCTTACTTATAAGACAAAAGAAGCATTTTACCAATGGTACACGAATCGTGTAACAAGGGACTCGAAGAACGTATAGAATACTCCACAAGTCATGTCAAACGATGACGTCATATTCTTATCCGGAGAGCATGAGCAATAAATACTATCGATGTAGACTGGAATAACAAGACGCTAGAGATTGCCATTCGCCGAAAATAACTGATTAGAAATTACAGTAAAAACAGAAACGATTGAATGTAAATCAGTTTATATACATTCATATTACATTATTACATTCGTTGCGATCCATTTGTGTCAATTTCAAGGCCCCAAATATTAGCGATTTAGCTGCTTTAAAGTAGAGACTATAATTAATATAGACATACATAATACAGGTTTCTACTTCAACAAATGTTCCACACACGTGGCTGAATAATTTGGCACGTATATTTTGTGTGTCCTTGTAAAGGGCTTTGCAATTAACATGGGCATTTCGGATGGCCCTACCCTGTCTGGTGTTTTGTCAGATAGACCTGTATAAATCTGTCCTAGTCTGTGCTCAAGTTTATATTTAATATGACTTATATCTTGTCTGTGTGTGTCTGTGGTAGAGGGGTGTATGAAATGTTCATGTCCTAATATAAGTTGCTGTGGTGCTTTCTAGATCGACAAGTACCGATAAGATTTTATAATTAACTTTTTTTTGAAAATTTTTACTAGATATTAACTGTTTGTATACTTGTATATTATAATAGAATATTTATGTAATACAAGTGTCTATTATTTTTATGTAAATATACAGTTATAGTTTGTGTAGAACTAGCAGATGTAGTCTCTATTTATCTTAACCCAATCTGCTGTCATCTGTTATAGTTGATAAAGTTTTAGTCCAAATCGTGAAAAATATTTGAGCAGTTGTAGAAAGTCACACAGCATTATATGTATCTAGTATGTATTTAGATATCTGGACAATAAGAATTAGGTTATAGATAAGATGATTTGGGCCAATAAAAGTTTTATTTTGATAAACAGGTGTATAAACATCAGTGATACAAATGAAATGGGGTTTAACGTCCAACTGTTCTGCTAATGAAGACGGGCGTACGCC